CTATTGCAATTACTTCCCCCTTTTTAAAATTGATGGAAAAATTACTTTTACTTCGTCTTGAACCCGCTTTGAAACCTTTTAATGATCCTAAACAATTTGCATACAAACATGGTAGAAGTACCTTGGATGCTGCGGTTGTCTTATATCACAATGTTGTCTCTTGTTTAGACAAAGGTGCTAAATATGTTCGTAGTGCTTTCTTAGACTACACATCTGCTTTTGACTCTGTACCTAGGGGCCTTTTGTTAAATAAGCTATCGTTGACACAAACAGGATCCTGGGCTAAGAGTTGGTTGCATTCCTATTTTTCTGATAGAATGCAGTATACTGTATATAACGGCAAATCTTCTTCTACCTCGCTTACAAAATCCGGTGTTCCACAAGGTGCTGTCCTCTCTCCTTTTCTTTTTTCTTTCTTCCTACATGACCTGCCTCATTCAAACGAAACTAACTTTGTCAAATATGCAGATGATCTGACTGTATCACTGCCTATCACTTCCGAGTCTGACAGCTCCAAACTTAATAGCTTTCTGTTGGACATCAACAACTGGTCCAAGTCAAATGGTCTTATATTAAATCCTTCCAAATGTCAGGTGCTTGACTTTACTTTCAAGCATCGACGTGACTTACTTGAACTAGTTAACTCGCATGATCCCTGTAGCATAGATGGCACGGAAATTGAAACCAAATCAAGCATTAAATACCTTGGACTAGTTTTTTCCTCTGACCTTTCATGGTCATCCCATATCTTATCTATCTCTAAGAAAATGTTTCGTCTTACCTTCTACATTAAAAAGTTAAGACAATCAGGTATCAACCAACCTTTAGTTTTGCAATTTTTAAACTCCTGTATTTTACCTATTGTACTCTATTGCTCTCCATTAATCTTTCCTGGGCTGCTCAAAAAAGATTATATCATATTACGAAGAGTATTAAATGCTGTGAGTAGAGCTTGTGGTCTGCCACTGCATGAGCTCGCTAATACTATAGTCGAGAGGCATATAAATTCCTGTACGAAATGGGCAAAGGCTATAATGTCAGACCCTCTGCACCCCCTTTATTCACACCTGTCCCCTTGTATCTCATCAGGTAGGACGAGAAGTCAATATAAAAAGATATATGCTCGTACTACTAAGTATAGAAATTCTACAATACCCTATTTAGCGCGTACTTTATGTGACGAAGACTCTGTTAGACGTGAAACTTACAAGTTACTATGTAATTAGCACAGTGAATCGACCCTTTTATCGTTCATCTTTCTGTATTTTATGGTGTCACACTTTCTATCGTTTAAATCGTTACTCTGCTATTTTATTTTTAGTTGGTATTACTATTATTACTACAATTTTGTACTTTATACATATTTTTCTCCGTATGGCACACAGTATTTTGCTACGTAGCTGCTATAACAATCGTTTTATTACTATTATGTAATGTGTATTTTTAATTTTTTTTGTCGTTTTTGAGTAAATTAGATGCAATATTGTACTGAATGCTGAAAATTCCTTGCTGTATCATGAGTACTGTTTTTGGAATAAAGCTATTATTATTATTATTTCGTTGACTACTCATCATCTGCTTACAGCCTAAAAACAATTCTTAAGTTTTTATGTACAGAAACAATATTGACATACTTATCCAGGGAGTTCAAGTTTCATACGAGATATCAGTGTATGCATACAATGATAATAAGAATAATGATCACTTTGGTCCGCAAAATAAAAATCGTACAGAATAGGATTTTCAACGTCACGTACTCGAATGAGAGAGAGGGAATGAAGGCATTCACTTACCAGAGCAAGGAAAGTCTGATAACCGCTTCTTTCCGAACACAAAAATCAGATTCCGGGTGTTTGGTGATGGATGATTACTTCAGTAAATTTTAGGAGAATGGAGTTCCCCTGTCTATTGATTATTTTGAAGGATCTTGCGATATCCACCTAATGATGGTACCATTTTATTCTGAACAAACTGTTGTTCTTGATTTACGCAAATTCATGAAAGGTAATAAATATATGAAATTACTGCTTGACTGTTTGGATATATAACTGTAGAACATGATGAAGAAGCTATCTAAAAAGAACATTTCACACCTTTAGACTCATTCAACTTTACAATACAGTACGCTTGATAACCCAGTCTAAAGTAGATAGGTATCCTGCTTCGCATGTCAACTTCAACTGCATTTACCTATTCACCTGCACCTGCGGTAGCTAGTAAATATAAAGGACTATGAAGAGAGCATCTAGTAGATTCTCCAGTCCTATCTCTGTTTGAAAAGCAGCAAAATGATCTCAAGCACGATCGCCAGATATCTAGCTGATACGGGACACACAATAAAAATTAGTCAAGGTTTCAATATAATCAATACACAAAGAAAGCCTGGTTGCTTCGGCTCGCACAAACCATGGTCATCAAAAGACCTCGATCCAGCCTGTGTACACAGAAACATAGTGTGGCTAATCTCTCACTACCCTGGTATCCATAAATCTTTTGTTCGTGTGCTTTTGTGTTTTATTCTGTTGCAGAGCATTCCACTAAATCTTGATCTTGATTTTCACTCATTGAGCTGAACCCACTATTAAGGTTCAAAATCTACTAAACTAAATTATTTTATCTATTTTATAATTTTACTTCACTGTTCAACCCCACGCTCCTGAACTCTCCACCATGATGTGTGTAAATACACTCCATTGTTCTATCATGTATTTTATCACTAGTCCATCCTTGTTTCCAAGAAAAATCTGAATTCCACCCTTTTGTCTAATAACTAAATAAGTAGCCACATTTTTGACATTAAATGGTTGTCTCCTTACGTCATCTTTGAAATTATGTTGCTTATAGCTTCTATCCATAACTTAAAGTCACTGTAAGGCGTATGTTCAGACAATATTTTGTAACATGTAATTGATTTATTTAGGGTGTAGGCAGTTGAACAGTATCCACGAAATGAAACGAACTCGTATTGTCTTGCAAATATGTTTATTCTTTCTTTATTCAAAATAAAAGAATACTTAAAACAAGCAATAAAGGTCAATAAGGCAGGATTTAATGAATTCATCAAATTTCGGTAGAATTCGTCAGCTGAATACTGTACATACACGAATATGTTTTCTATTGAAATTACACTATGAGATATAAGACTGATAAGTAAACAAATTACATTGAATTAGTCATGCAGAAAGACAGGTGCAAATGTTTTCCAGGTCATATTCAAATAGAAGAGAGGAGAGAGAGAGTATGAGAGATCAAAATTAGGATAAATTGCGTTATGCTTCAATTACATCACTTAGATAAACAATTATTCATTAGAGAATATAACAAGAATTACAAACAGTGTAATAGCGATAGTAATATCTATAATAACAATAGTGTTGAAGTGAGTTAAGATAATCCTACTGATAAAGGATATCGACGCCGTGAAGTCATTCACTGTTGTGAGCAGACAAAGAAATAAGATGTTTGCAATTGCAGAGGCTTGTGCGATTCGAATTTATAAACCAGGTCTCTGTGTACAAAAGAAGATGGTCGTGAATCTCAATCTACTATGGTAATACATTTTACGTATTATTCTACCTCTTATTATTATCCTTTATCAGTAGGATTATCTTAACTCACTTCAACACTATTGTTATTATAGATATTACTATCGCTATTACACTGTTTGTAATTCTTGTTATATTCTCTAATGAATAATTGTTTATCTAAGTGATGTAATTGAAGCATAACGCAATTTATCCTAATTTTGATCTCTCATACTCTCTCTCTCCTCTCTTCTATTTGAATATGACCTGGAAAACATTTGCACCTGTCTTTCTGCATGACTAATTCAATGTAATTTGTTTACTTATCAGTCTTATATCTCATAGTGCAATTTCAATAGAAAACATATTCGTGTATGTACAGTATTCAGCTGACGAGTTCTACCGAAATTTGATGAATTCATTAAATCCTGCCTTATTGACCTTTATTGCTTGTTTTAAATTCGTATCGGGAAATAAATGTTTTCATGTCTTGTAAAGGAATATTCTTTATTCACTATTCACTCATTTGAAATTCACAAGCAAACTTGAATTTGCACAAAATTACATTACGTCGACTGTGTTCATTCGCTTAATTAGCAAATAAGTCACTTAACTCTGTTGCATCACATCACGCTGTTTCGTTATTTTTCGGGAGTTATCAATAGAGAAACACTGTAAATTAATGGTGTACAGCTTGAGAATTCACTTCAGAGAATTTGCCGCTTTAAATGCAATGAAAACAGCCTCAAGTCTGATCAATTGTTTTAGTAGTCGTCTTTATATGTCAACCTTACAGCAATTAGTTGTCAACTTATTGAATGTATTCTGATCTAAAAATGTGGCATCCTAATTATTTCGATATTATCGATTTTCAAATAGTCATTGCATTGTACAGAGGCCAGAGTCCAAGGATTGGGCTGACATATATAACAATAAATAATAAACTCTTATTTCTGATCGTTTTTATCTTCTCATACAAGTATCAGAAGCTTGCATCCGATTATATTTAAAATTTAAGCTGCAGGGTAACTTTTTCAACCGTCACTGTGGCTTCAAGACACAGTTAATAGACGGTAGTATAGCAAAATGCTTAGCTGTATAACTCACATCATGATATTAACTAACTGTCAGATTAAGTTTTCAATTTTACCATTAGTAGCTCAAAGACAACTGTCTGATTCCTCTTCCCGAATTCTCTTTATATATATTTATATATTTTCATTTGACCAATCACTGTAGTCAGTAACTTTACACCACAGACCAATGGATGAATATTATTGGTCATTGGAACTACCAATTAAAAAGGAGTCATAAATACTGACTTTATGATCCATTGTGAATGTATGCGACCTAAAATAATTACGCTAGTGAGAATTTGGATTACATCACAATTGATTGGAATGCACTTGTCTCTCTCTCTATAATAGTTTAGCAATATGAACATGACTTATGTAATTTTCATTTTTCATCATTCGCACAATTAACAAAAGATTTTTAACAAGATACGTATACCATGATGAAGAGTTTTAACATGGATTATATGAATTTCGGAGTGATTGCTTCACTTGTTGATACTAAATGAATTGTTGTACACTCTTGAATACCCTTACTACTTCATCTGATCCTGAAGAACACATGCAAATTTCACCTTTGAATTAGATCATCCTGAAAGTGAGTACAGTTTTGTTGCTTGTTTTTATTCCAATTTGTGTTATTGAAGGTCAGTGTGAGTTTTTAGCTGACGTCATTTTAATTTTTAGAACACATGTATAAATACAGTCATTAGCTGTGGTGTTTCAAGCATAAACTTCAGAGGTCAAATTGAAATTAGGATCTGATAGGAAAGTGACTCCATTCATAAAGCTGGAGGTGAACAATTTTATTTCCAGACAATCATTTCTGGTTTACTCCAAGTAATTCGAAGGTCGGCCTAAATCACTTTAATCCACAGTGATTTAGATAAACTCTCTAGAAGGTCTTATCGTGCTAATCACCTAATTATGTCTTCTGAAAGGTATATGAAGTCATGCATACATCCTAATCACATCTCAACTCAGTGTTGCGCATTTCTCAGAGGAAATGAAGAAAAAATGTAGTACATGATTAGATCTTGTTCCAATCGAAACAACATGACATCAAGTGGTATACTATTAAGCACTAATTTTTTGGCTGAAGATACTGCAAGGGGAGTAAATACTGTTGAAATTGCATGCGTTGGGATTCTGTACCATGAGTTGACATATAGTCTAGGATGTATCAGGTTATCACAGACACTCAAACAAAGTCTTCCTCTTCACTGCTGGAAACACATTTCGTTTGGTCATAAGTCTCATGGGTCCAGGATTCACGCCTCAGTGAGAACATTATTACTCAGTGTGGGAGATGCAGATATGACAGTCTGACAAATCCCGAATAGGATGAGATATACATGCTAGATTTCACTGTTTACCACCATCAACTTGAAAATCTTTTACATTTGTTGGTCACGTTGCCTGAGGTGTGTAACGATGCTTTTTTTCCAGTGAAGTACCTTTGTGAATTGAATAAAAAGGGATCATCAGGTTAGGTTATCATTAGCTACAGAAGATAGTGAGCGTTTTAGAATTATCTATTGAAAAAGTGTACATCAGGTGTGAGTTGTACAGAACAAAAATCTAAGAGTGTAAATTGGTTTGAATTATCCATCTCATGCCTAACTTTATCGGCAGTTTATGAGTCAAAACACCGAAACGTGGTAGTGGAGAAACTAACTGATAACTTACTGTAAACTCTCAGTTGTATTTAATTAATGGTTGAGTTTTAGTGTTTACTGTGATAATAAATCATGTCCTTTCTGTTAACCACAATCCCTTTGCAGTTGCATAACTATGTATTCTGTGAAAAATATCTTTTCATATTATTATATCATTATTGTTCCTTTGGGTTTCTAGTGGAACCCAGTCCTTAAACAACGTATCTTCATTCCATCCTGTTTTCTGCAGTCCTTTTTATCTGGCTACACAACTACCTATAAAATATCATCTAATTTTTACACGATCTCCTCCACGTCACCATCGGACATCAAACTCGTCATTTCCAATTCAGGTTTTAATTGACGGCCTGACTAGCATATGATGTTACTGAGTCATCTCCTCAGTGGGTGTCCGGTCTATGTTCATCTCCTTGTAAATTTTTATTGGGTAATAGACTCTTGGTTGGTTCGTTGCACTGACGTAATTCCCTTCCTGCTTTTCTTTTTGACCAGCTGTTGGTGGAAGTCTTTAGCACGCTGTTCGAAATGCCTTTGATGACGCCCCAAATAAGTGAACCATATAAAAGCGCTGACTTCACATTAGTGTTGAAAATCTAGTTTCATATGCTTAATGCAACAGGTTTCCACGTAGATTTCAAGGAAATAAATGCTTCTGTTGCTTTTCTTTTGTTGGCTTAGATATCTTAGTCTGTGCTGCAGGTGGTTGCAACTACGCTGGCTAAGGGATGTGAGCGAAAGAGGTTACCTTCATTAAATTCAAAGCAATAAGAATTCCTAAATCCAATTAGTTTACACAAAGTCAGGACATGAGGAACCTATTTAATGCGAGTTTGTAGTGCCAGGCATGTACATTTATCACAACATTATTATTATCTTCTCAGCGAATTCCTTCATTTAGCTGTACAATCGCAAATGCATATACTTATCCTTGTATGTATGTGTACGTGAAGTCTGTTTTTTCGTTAGTCACGTATCCTATCCAAAAAGGGTTCGAGAACACTATCCCGCATGACTGCAAAAGGTAACAGTAGGTGTATAAGAAGTGAGATAATCAAACATCTCTTCAATAATTATTTTTTTATTTTTATTTTATTTTTTTATTTTTGGTAACAGCTTGATTCCACAACGTATTTTTGGTACAAGTATGGAATTTTCAGCGTGGATATCAGTAGCCCAAAATCCGCAGGCCGACCATAGATATCGGGTGTGCGCCGGTGTGGGCTCGAACCCCGGACCATGTGCATGGTCGTCGAGAGTCCTAATCACTGTGTCACCGACGCACTAGCCATCCCATCTCAATAAATGCCTCCTTCAAAGTGATCTACAAAGTGAAGAACAGTCCACCAAAGGAAATACGCTTTCATCTCTTTTGTGTCGCTGAAGCTTTAGCCATTCAGTTAGAAAAACCAGAATTACTTATACAAAAGAAAATCACCTAACCACCTATATCTACTATTATGGCAAGAACTATGTTGACTGCTACTGATTTGTTGTTCGTGTGCCTGTTTTTCTTCTAACTCCTTATAACATTCGTAATTTTTAGAGTCTTACATGGTTCCATATTTTTTTTGTTTCTACGTACATCTTAGTCATAACTCACCCATTAAACTATTCATCTTGTCACGTAACAACAACAACGTCTTTTATGTGCTGATTCACATGAATAACTATGTTTTTTTGACAACACATCACCACTACCCTCTTATCAATCTTTACTCCCCCCTTCCCAGTTGCAGTTTGATTACTCATCACGTTTTATCTTGACAACAACAACCTTAACGTATTTTTATTCTTATTGGACAAACTTTATTAATGGACACACATACAAAAATAAGCATATATAACTGAGACTGTGGTGCTAAGTGAATGAACCTTCTAAAAAGAGACTCTTCGCTGAACTACGTGTTTTGTTTTCATTAATGTCTGAATGAGGATTATTATTATTATTATTATTATAACCGGTGGTAATAGTGGATGGCCTTAAAATTACGATTTGTAAGTTAAAAGCGATTCATCCTCATTTGAAGTTTGTTTTATGTATGCACATCAGGTGAGTTCATCTGATGTAACACACAGTGATACAATATTCATAACTCCCTGCTGTAAGGTTATATAAAGGAAATTATCATGAAATGCAAATACATTGACATTAATGATTATTATGAGTAATAAAATTGTGCTCATCCGGTTATTAACACTGTATCTCGCGTTATGTGTTACATCAAATAAAGTTATCTAATATGGAATTGTATATCTTCTAGTTTAATGCCTAAATATGTTAGGCATATACATATATTTATTTACTGTCAAAGCCTACAGAAATAGTAGCTTAATATTCTTCTGATAATTTCTCATGTTATAAAAGCTTTAAAGTTTAGTCATCTGAGATTTCGACGTAATTCTAAGCCGTTATATATACATATATAGTTATTCATGTCACACCATAAGCTTACTATTTTATTGCGTATTTAACTCATATGGTTGGTAGATTCTTGGTTTATTCATATGCTTACAAAGATATTATTTGTAAGGGTTATACGGTCTTTTATGTCATTGCAGTTAATTACAAAAATTTAGAACTAAGAGAAGTTTAAGATGACTGAGAACGTTGTACATTGTCACAGAGTAATAGCTTCGTGCGACTTCACTGACTTCACAGATCTACCATAAGATAATACGACACAAATGTGATACCTCTCTTCAAGCATTCTTTTTTTCATGTACTCCACTGATAAGCGAAGTTTCTTTCTAGATTAAAAGAAAAGAATTCCTGCTGAACCAAGAATTAGGTGACAGCCTATTTTACCAAGTTTTTAAATGTGGATTTGCAGAGATTCGATTGGTTTGAAGTTAGCTCATAAGCCTGTGGAAACCAGAAAGTACTGGATAGGTGATTCGTCGTTTGCTACGTTTCACTGGTGCATACCTGTGACCTCGTAAGGGACCGCGCCCGGACCTTCAGGTACTAAGAGAGCTCGTTCAATCATCCATGAAATCTAGCTTTCGTCAGTCCGTGATAGATCGCTTTATCCTCAGACAATGTCAGTGGTGATTATTCGTCTTCACACATCACTTTATGGACCCCACTGGTCATAACTTCCATAAGAACTTCAGGAAGTCCAACCTATAGTCAGTCACTGATGACCATCGGATTAATTTTTAATTGGCAGTTGGCAGATATTCAATTTTTTCAGCTTAGTTCATAAGCTGACATGAGTTACACAACCAACAATAAGAGGAATGCTTTGCTGGATAAAAAGTAAAATTCTGTTCAGTTAAGACTTCTTTAACAGTTTATTTTTCAGTTTATCCTGATTTTAAAAAGCGTGTTTATCTGCTTTACATAGGTAACATGTTATATTTGCAGGATGAAAAGAGGTCAACTTAATTCACAGCTTTTCTTTATCTGATTACGGCCTGAAACAAGACATACTTCTTTATAAATGTAAATATATGATGCATTTCAAAATTTGAAGTTTATTACGGATTATTATCAGTAAGAGGATCATCGGAAACTAGGAAATACTGAATAGCTGTTTTTTCCTAGTTCCGAACTCATTAACAGTACACAACCATCGGGTTTTGAACCCAGGACCTTTCGGTTAAAAGACAAGCTGGCTGACCATTCAACCACTGGGACACGACTCAGTGACAGCCTCATGAATTCTAACTTCTACCAGTTCTCTTTAATCGATTAGCTGATATCAATCCGCAATCAAACTTGAAACAAAGCAAATCCCTACAAAAAGCTCTTGAAACACTCCGAAATTATTCCTGCGAGGGTGACATTTGATAAATCTTAACACAGTAATGTATTAATAAGCATGAATACAAGGTGGCTGATAATCGAATCATTAGAGTTTATTCATGATGGGAAGTTTGAAAGTCAACTGAAGAGGCTAAGAGTGAAGACATGTAG